TAAACAAGTGTATAACAAAATATGCCCTATGCTTCCATTGCTTCTATTTAGACAAAAAAGTGTACACTAGCAGCGGGGATACATCAAAATATTGTACTCTCATGCGTGTGAGAATACATACAAAAACAGTACACCACCTAGTACTTATAAGTTTAGTGTACTTACAAAACATTCAAATACTATACCAACGAGGGTATTTACTTCATACTTGAATATGTTGTGCATCTTCATGTATGAACCGAGTCCCTTCAGTAATCAGTTGTATGTGTGAAGTTTGTTGTCATTTGTCCATCCATGAATGTCTTAGCTGTTTCATAAAACTCGGGGTAGATCTAGACATTTGTTGGTAAGAGCCCTTGTCTTTGCAACTTCTCTTTCCTCACATGCTTGAGCTTGAAATTGTTTCCTCCTCTGTGTTTTGATATTTCTTCCATAACATTTTGATAGCTCAAAACGACTTTGTTAAGTGTTTGTGGTGTGAACTTCTCATATGAGGCTTGCACTGCTTGTATTAAGTCCATGAGTCGAGGATGTTGTGCATCTTCATGTATGAACTGGGTCCCTTCGGTTGTATGTGTGGAGTTAGTTGTCATCTGTCCATCCATAAATGCCTTAGCTGTTTCATTACAACTCAGGGAGATCTGGACATTTGTTGGTAGCAAACCTTGTCTTTGCAACTTGTCTTTCCCCACATGTTTGAGCTTGAAATTGTTTCCTCCTCTGTGTTTAAATATTTCTTCCACAACATACTGATAGCTCAAAAAGACCTTGTTCAGTGTTTGTGGTGTGAGCTCCTCATATGAGGCTTACACTGCCTGTATTAAGTCCATGATGTTCTTTGGGGTCTTTTTATCCTTTATGGAATCAATAGCTCTAAAGAACCCTAGGTCTAATACATTTAAATCTGGACTGTTGGGAGGTTGACATTGTAATTGGATATTCCATCCATCCTCTGATCCTGATTTAACAAAGTTTGTACCATGTATTTCGATATGAGGCCTAGCATTATCTTGTTGTATGATCACTTTTCTGTTTTCTTACTGTGGCCACTTGGCTTTGATGGCTAGCAGTAAGGTGTTGAGTATCATTTCTTTCATTACATGCCTAGTCACACTCAATGTTGGTTTGGTTTCTAAAGTCCCAGACTCCCAGCAGCCTTATTCTTGCTTTATCTATTGGCTTTGTCTTCATATGTGAATGAAAATATCCCTGTTTTTTCATCCCACTCCACCTCCCCACTGTCATCAATCCTAAGTATCCCAACTTCAACCAGAAACATGATTTTGAGAATAAATTTCTTTGATTGAACTATTCTGTGTGGATCATCTTCTGTTGGGAAGGTGTAAAACTGGTAGTTTCTTTTGATAAATAAAACTATTTTCATCTATGTGAACACAATCATAAAAATCATGAACTGATTGAGGACGTATTTAACTTAAGCAAAAGTGTAACCTTTTCAATTTGCCTGCTTCTGTTAGAAGTGGTTTGATTGCGCTTGAATGTCTTCTTTGCACGGTTGTTTTTTTAGACTTCCATTGCATATGCAAGTGCTCTCTCATTTTTCCTTTGATGTAAGGGAATCTGGTAAATCTTTTGCACATCAAAACTTATTCTTTTTCTGCCAACATTTCGCCAACATTTCCCTTCATTCTGCTTTTCACATGTATGCCATGTCCACTCTGCATTCCTTGCTTTGCTTGACTCCATACGCAATGAATAGTCCAAGTGAATACTTTAAATTGGGTGGCTAATTTTGGTATCACATCCCTGTCAAGTTTACCTTCAACAACACCGGCCAATAACCTCTCAATGATCTTGCTGCAAATTACAGAGATCAACTTAGGCCATTTTTTCCGTGGTTCACTGCTCTCTCCCCTCACCCCTTCACTGAAGTTCGTTTGCGACATTTCAGTTGGTACATGCTCACTTAGGTCAATTATTGTTGTCACTATGTGTGTATTTACAAATACAAGAAATGAAGAATGATACAATAATTTGTTTCATGTTTTCATATGAGTTACAACGAGTATATGCAAGAACTCCATGTGAGAGCAACTAAATACTACCAACATTCTCACAAATAACTGATGTGTAGGCGGTGTAGCTAAACATTAACACATAACTAACTTGAAACTTGCAAGCCTGATATGCTACGAAGATGCTTTAAATGAGATCACTTATGAATTTATCAGATAGATGAAATATTGAACACTTGCAAACTTGTAATGGAATGATCTCATGAAGAACAATAGAAAGGCAAACCTCAATGTAGACTGAGCATCAGCGGCAAGGTATAGAAATCTAGACTCAAGCATAGACATAAACTCTTCCCTCTCATCGAAGTCATATTCGAGCATAGCAAAACCATTGTACTCTCTATTTGTTATTGACTTCAACAATGGACTCCAATAACTGAAGAAACACAAAAGATAAACAGTTCAAATGGCTCTCTAACAACTAAAACTTACAAAAGAACGAGTCTTTAAAACTAGAAATAATTCATGTATATGATAAAATTTAGTACTGCAAAGAACACTAATGTTAATCTATGTACCATGTCATCCAGATGTGGTGATGCCTATGTATAGACCTAAATCCAGATGCATACTTTAAGTTAAATCACTTATTGATGCAAGTCATGCAACTAAAACAAGATCCCAGTTATACTTTAAGAAAATCAATAATCTATAAGCAAAAAAAGTTATGATTTATTCCTTCTAAGATGGTTGTGTGTCAGGGAGGGTATACAGGCTACACCCAAGTGCAACTGATTGGCATTACAAAATTCACTAGGTTAAGCTAGAAAGGTATGTCACGCTAGTACAACTGTTTGGGCTGCCAAAAGTTTTTATTTAAAATCTATGTAAAGGTGGTCATAAACCACACATGAAAGATGAAGGTGAAAAAGGAATTTTTTTACACTTGCACAGACTAAAGAGGTTGGAGAGTGTTCATCATTTATCATTGACAAGCCATGCAATGATAAGCGTACACCTAGAGAAAAGATGAGAAGTTCAAAAAGAACCTTGGTCCAAACAGAATTCTTTCAAGTTCATATAACTCAGAATCTGTGGCGAGTTCAAGCACAGCTCGAAGTTTTGGATCAAATGAATCCCCGGTGTTAATGGTGTAACCCGCTGCAAAGCACCAAATCAGTTTCTTTAGACTCTATAAGTCTATAACTTGCAGCATTCCAAAAATAAAATAGGGGAAATAATATACTGTATTATATATATACGTAACAAACACCTGGGTGATCGCCTTTAAATGCATAAAGTGGATGTACAGCGCTAAGATTTTGGTGGTTTAGCTGCAGAAGCAGGAAAAGACAGTTCACATTAAAAAAAAGTTCGGTTGCAACGAACTCAGACCATTAGTTTATGAAACCCCCGGTTGTGATCAGTGATCTTCCCTTTTCTCTCCGGCTCTATGAGATTACGTAGTACTGCTTTATTAATTTGTTTTGACACTGAGGTTTTGTGTGTCTAATGTTTAATTTCAAGATAGGTGCGGTTATATCAAATTCACATATATGTAGACATGCACTTCGAGGAAGGAAAAGCCGCACTAAAATTCAGAGACACGGACACAGAGAGTGGGAGTTGCTTACTGGGCAACAGTAAGGTTCAGTCTGAGGGGACACGAAGTGGAGTCGCCGGTGGGAACAGAATGCTGATGACATTTGGAATGGCCGAAGGTAATGGAATGATGGCGCCCCTGTGGCGGTGTTCATGGTGGCGGCTACCGTATAGTGGAGGAGCAATAATTAACAATAGAGGCGCGGCGGCTTTCACACAATCACATCTCCCTCCGAGTCTCCGACTGTCCCCGAGTGGCTGCGCTCCCTAATAAATAAGCTATCCACTGCAAGTCTGTAACACTACACTTCACAAGGCCTAAAAATACACAAAACCTTTGTATGTTCGGAGCACGTAAATTGTACTATAATCTCAATCTTCCAGATAGACAATGGAGCTCTGTATACTTACATAGGTCCTATGCATTTTTAGCATAGTAACCCCTCATGGCAGGAATTCGAATCCGGAACTTAACCTTTGTGGCACTCCCTTGCTACCAGTTGAGCTACGCTCACCGGTTACACAAAACCTACTAGTTCCTCGAATACGTTTAGATTTTTGATACATTGGATTGGTCGAGTGCCTCATATGGTCGAGTGCACTTGGGCTAAGTACAATAATGAGCCAAATACACTCGGTTAGAGAATTTCACCTCCTGGTGCTTCTTCTTCGTCTTCCTTTGGATGAAACGGGTCCTTTTTAGGATCTAAACTTCGACCAACCATGGGAGTGACAGCAGAGTGAGCTTTATTCATATTAAATTGCCTGAGCATCTTTTGGATATAAGCAGACTGGTGGATTAATAGTTTAATACTCCACAAACTCGATATTTTAGCTCAAAGGCCTATACGGAATCGAGTTTTCCCAAGGTCTTTAATCTCAAATTCGGATTTTAAATGGTTGGTGGTTTCTCTTATTTCATCAAGAGTACCAATTATGTTCATATCATCAACATATACAGTCACAATTGTGAATCTGGGACTTGTTTTCTTAATGAATATGCATGGGCATAGTTCATCGTTCTTATATCCCTTTCCAATCAAGTAATCACTTAGACGGGTATACCACATCCGCCCAGATTGCTTCAATCTGTAAAGTGAGTGTTTCAATTTTATTGCAAATGCACTCCGTGGTTTAGAGTCACTTGATTTGGGTAGTGAAAGTCCTTCGAGCACTTTCATATATATCTCTGAATCAAGATCCCCATAGAGATATGCAGTAACCACATCCATTAATTGCATTCCAGTCCTTCGAAAACTGCTAAAGTGACTAGGTATCAGAACGTTATAACGTTCATTACGGGAGAGTATGTGTCCTCGTAGTCAATCTCAAGGCATTGTGAGAAACCATGCGCCACGAGGCGAGCCTTATACCTTAAGACTTCATTCTTCTCATTTCACTTTCTGACATATACCCATTTATGTCCCACAGGCTTTACACTTTGTGAGGTTAGTACTACCAGACCAAATACCTGTCTTTTTGTCAGAGAATCTAGTTCTACCTGGATTGCTTCTTTCCATTTAGGCCAATCCGCTCTTTGTTGACATTTTTCAATAGAGCGTGGTTCAATATCATCGTGCTTAATTATTTCTTGAGCAACATTAAATGCAAATATGTCATCGATGTGTACGAAAGATCTTTCCATTAACACATGTGCTTGTTCATTATCCATTGAGATTTCCCTTGATAGACTATAAGTCTAGAGAGAAGGGAGAGCTAGAGAGAGAAGTTCTATATTTGCTTTGTATTAATGAATTTGTGAACCCCTACAACTACTCCCAGAGGTAGTATTTTTAGGAAAAATTAGGGTTGGGCTCCCAAGTCTTGGGCTTGGGAGGCCCATTTACAATACGGCCACTATTAGACCGGGTACAAGAGATGTAGAAATGATTAAGTATAAAATCCTATTCTGGGGGCCACTTGTGGCCGATGAGGGCACGGCCGACGAGGGCATGGCCGACGAAGATCCGGCCGACGAGGTCACCCGGTTCTCCTTGCTCATGGACCGTATTCTGAGTAGACTTCTTTCTGGCCGATGGAGGTCATCTGGCCGACGAGGGTCCCACCAAGTGATAGTGGTACCTTATGTTCTTCCGAGTATGTGGGCCATGGGGTCCAGGCCCATATACTCCATCAGGAGTCCTCCACTCTCTGAGCTGAGACGTAGACGAGGTGAGGGAGAGTAGATTTCTTGCTTCTGACGTTTTCTGGCCGTTGTGGGACCCTTCTTTGTCCTTAGCCGTTACGGGCACCTTTTGACCCGGTTCCTTGTTTTATGGCCGTCGTGGGTACTCAGCGGCTTGGCCGCTGTGTGGCTTTCGCCGTAGACGAAGAGGGACCCAGTCATGATGTGTATTTCCTATTTAAGGACATCGAGTGTCTTTGCTTGGTGGGGATGATGAGCGTCCTTTGTCATGAATGGCCGATGAAGGTCATGCCCACTCCTGACAGTTGATGGCTGAATTTCGCGCTTTTGGGCCGAGGAGGCCCTTGTGGTTATTTCATGTTCGAGGATGATGAGTGTCCTTTTGTTTCCGGGTGGCCGGTGAGGGTGCTGTTTGCTTTCTTTAGCCATTTGACTGCGTTCTGTGTTTTTTTGGCCGGAGCGGTGATGTCCGTAGTCTGACGTTCACGCTTTTGAGGACGATAACGGCACTGATCCGGGAGGAGTGGTGCATGTCCTGGTCTTATGGACGATGGTGATTTAGGTATGTTGACTTCCTGTTCTTTGATTCCTGGACGAGAGTGGAGTATGTGGTCTCAAAGCCGATAAGTGCCCTGTGATCTCAAGTGTTTCACTTTTGGAGGGAATTCTTTGTTCGCTAGCTTTGCTGCGGCCGACGGTGCACCACGAGGTTATGGACGTTGTGGTGCATGTCTGATGTTGTAGTCGTGGACTTAGTATTTTTTGGATTTCTTTGATTTTGTCCTGATTTTCAAAGGCCGGTGTAGTCCCCCAGTCCCCCACTGCTTCAGGCCGAAGAGTAGGTGAGGGGTGAATGAGTAAAGGATTTGCCTAGGCCGAAACAGACTCTTGTGTACACCTGAATCCAATTCCTTGGCGATTTCTTGACCAAGGTAACCCTGTGGGAGAACCCTTGGACGCAGGTCGCTTTCAAGAAATTATCATCAGGGTTTTACACAGGGCCGATGGCGTGGGGTTTCTTTTTTATTTTACCGTTGTGGCCGTTGAACAGGCCATGCAATTGGCATTCTGTTCAAGCCGATATGGACACGCCTTGAGATGTGACCTACCCTTTTGAAGTGTCTTTGTGTTGAGGCCGATGCAGGCACGATTTCTTAGCGTGGCCGTTGAGTGTTTGGCCTGTTGGCGATGAGCTGGTATTGTGGAAGTGGGCCTGACCCGTCTTCTAAACCGGTGCCAGCCCAATGGGTCTTGGGATGGTGGCCGTTCATGTGGCCAATGGGAGGTTGCCACGTGTAGTGACCGTTGGGGGGAGGTCTATAAATACCCCCCCCCCCCCCCCTCCGAAGAGGTTCCTCATTGCATTCCTGAGATAACGAAGTGCTGCCGAATTTTCTAGAGAGAGAGCCTTTCCATGTGTTCTTCCGTTCTTCAAAACTTCAAAGGTCAGTTCGTCGAACTTTTCCCAAATTACTTGTGTACTTTGCTTATTTTAGCTCTTGATCCTATGTTAGTGGAGAAACACCCTTAGATCCAAAGTAGAAACCCTTAGGCTTTAGTTAGTTGTTATGATGAAGCCTTTGAACGACGAGTACTACCCATATGACGATGAGCCCTCTGCTCTGTTCATGAACCTGTACCAGATCGGCCGAGGGAGCCACAAAAATTGTGCCGGTTATGCTAATCTCCAACAGCTGCCGAAGAAGAGGAGTTTCACTGACCTCCCTTCGTTCATTCATGGTTGGAAGAGCAAGTTCGTCTTCATATCCTTGGGTGAGGACGGCATGGAGTTTCCCTCAGTTGGTCATGACGGTAGGTTCACCCTTCACGACGTGCCGAAGAGCAGTATTTTGGATGCCCAGGTAGCGGCGTTTCTGAAGGGAGGGCCGAGGAGCGTGAAACATTACATCACGGAGTATAAGATGACCGCCCTCGGCTTCATGAGGTATTATGTATACGGCGACAAGGAAAGTTATATCGAGCTGTGGCCGAAGATGACCACCACCTTTGATGAGGCCGATGGCCCGGATATGGGCGTGCCTACTGATGCCGATGGTAATACCCTCTCTGGCGTCTTCACCTATGTTTTCTTTTGTTTTTGCTAACTGTTTGTTTTTCTTGTTGTGCAGACTTCACTATGGATCGTAGATCCGTCATGGCCCTAGCCAAAGCTAAGGCGAAGCAGGAGATGGCCGCAAAGGAGGCCGCAAAGATGGCCGCTGCGAGCGGCACCCAACCAAGCTCTGATGCGGCGAAGAAGCCGCCTACGCAGCCGAAGAAGAAACGGCCTGCGAATGACGGCCAGAAGAAGCTCACTGAGGTCGGTATGTAGTCTAAGAAGCCGAAGAGGGCTTCCCCTCTTGCCGATACTGGTGCTGGTGGTCTGACCGTACCGGATGATGATGTCGGGGGCTCGAATGTTGTTGCCGTCGTAGATGCGGTTTCGGTCCCCTCTTCAACGGCTCTATCCCAGCCGCCGCCTGTCGGCCAGGAGCCCTGTAAACAGAGGGCCGGCAAGGAGCTGGCCGTTGGGACCTACAAACTCGAGGTCGAGTATCCCGTGAAGGGTGGCGTCTTCAATGACGCTGTTGACGGCCATGATGTTCTGGCCCAAGCTGTCACGGTTGAGGACCGGGCTTATTTGAAGAAACTGGGTCCCGTCAGGATCTATGATGGCGGAATGGACCTCATCGTCCAAGTAAGTTTTCGTACTTTACGTCCTTTTGTGTCATGGGTTTTGCGTCGTCCTAACTCTTCATTTTTCCTTTGTTGTTGTAGGGCGCTCTGATGCTAATGGAGAGCCACAAGCGGCAAGAGCAGGAGATTGCCCGCCTGAAGGAGGCCGAGAAAAAGGCTATTTCGGCCGAGGAGGCCATGGCCTGCCTGGATCGGCTCCGGGAGGAGGTAAAGGCCCTGCAGAAGGGGGTTGATGAGGCCGACGTGGCCTATCGGCAGGTGGCGGCCGATAGGGACGACGCTTTGAGGGCCAGGGATGAAGCCCTGAGAAGCCGTGATGAGGCCCTTCTTCGGGCCGAGGACGCCGCGAGGGCTCGGGCTGATTCTGAAAGGGCCGCTGAGAAGGCCGTTGATGGCACCATCGAGAGGTTCCTTGCCGAAGGCTAGAAGGCCGATGACCGCTGGCCCTGGTGCTATGAAGTCGTGGTGGACCGGCTTGAAGACTGGGGCTAGAACTGCCCTGCTGGCCAGGAGTACTTCGCTCGTGAAATGGCTGTCTACTACGACATGGGTCAGCAGAGGATGCAACGGGTGATATACCGGAGGCTGCACCGGGCATTCAAAAAGCTGAAGCTCACCCAGAAATGGGCTCAGAAGAACCTGAAGCTTCCACGGCTGATGAGAGATCCAGAGGCCGAAGCGAAGCTCCCCCCGTCTGAGAGGCAAGATTCGGTGCTCAGTTCTTCCATCGGTGAGCCTGACTGGTCCAATGATGACACCCTAGCTGATACCGTCGTCTCCTCAGCAGCCGAGGCGAGCGGAGGTGCGAGGACGGAGGAGGGTAACGGAGTTGCATCGGGACAGGCCGATGCGGGACTAGCTGCTGATGAGGCCACCCCCGAGAGCTAATCGGCTGGCTTATGTAGTTTAGTTAACAGGTGTCTGTAACACCTTTTTTGTAATGGCCGTTGAGCCCCCCTAATGTAATGAATTTTTATGAATGATATGTCCATTGTTTCCGGCTTTATTCTGTGTTCTCCTCGTCTTGTTTTCCTTTTGCTTTTGTTCTCAAACTTTTCAAAAAAAAATTGAAGTGTTGAAATTGGGACTCGGGTAGTTGTCGTCTTTGGTTGTTCCCTGGCTCCGGCTGAAGCGGTTAGCCTGGGTGAATGTGTTTCGTCTGTGCGGAATATCCCCTGGACTTGGCAGGAACTTTAGGATTTTTTCCTAAGTACCAAAACTTGAAATGAGTGATTGTCCTCGTCGTCTTGGCGTCCCGCCCCCTTTTTCTTTTGTCCAAGACTTTGGAAAATTTTCTAAGTGTTGAACTAAATGTCACACTTGGAGAATTTTCCAAGTGTCGAATTGAGTAGTTCCCTCATCGGCCAATACGGCCAGTGTGGAATGGCTTCCCACGCTAAGGTGGTCTCATCGGTCCTGTGTTCTTCTCGACTATTTTTCCTTGCCGTTTCCATGCTTCGTGTTTGACCAGGAAGTCAAACCTGACTTCTGTAGTCGTAGCCGATTAGGGGACCAGTCCTTTGCTCGGCTGAGGGGAATTGTCCGCTTCGTCTTTGTGACGCTTAACGTCACACTGTTGTGGGCTTCTGAGCGTCCACTCTGGATGGTGCTCAGGGTTTTTTCCAAGTACTTAGAAAATTTTTCTAAGTGTTTGAACACATTTTGGGTGATTGCTTCCTATGTGAGTAGCTGATGACGGCCTCCCATTTGGGTTGCCTGATGCCGGCCACGTGGTGCCCTTTTTGGCCCCAGAAGTTTACCTTGGTAATTTTTCCAAGTTTTTTTGAGAGCTTTCGTCAGTAACGCGTAATGCTTTGTCTGATATGTATTTGAACAATTTTGGGGATTTTCATTTTTATTGCTCGAGGCCGGCGAGTGCGCGGCTCATCGGTTGTCCCTCTTTTATTTTTGGGGATATCGCTTCAGGCCGGCGAGTGCGCGGCTCATCGACTGTCCCTCTTTTATTCTTTGGGGATATCGCTTTAGGTCGGCGAGTGCGCGGCTCATCGGTTGTCCCTCTTTTATATTTTGGGGATATCGCTTCAGGCCGGCAAGTGCGCGGCTCATCGGCTGTCCCTCTTTTATATTTTGGGGATATCGCTTCAGGCCGGCAAGTGCGCGGCTCATCGGTTGTCCCTCTTTTATATTTTGGGGATATCGCTTCAGTCCGGCAAGTGCGCGACTCATCGGTTGTCCCTCTTTTATTTTCTTCCTCTTTACTCATTTGAGCGAGGAGTGGATGTCCTTCTTTCAGGCTTCGGCCAAGGGGGTCGATAGACCCTCGACCGGTAAGGAGTCCTACTGGATCGTCCTGGGATCTCAAGGAGGTCCCGTCGCCTGTTTATGACGCGGGCTAAGGCTTTTGGTCGGTTACCGACGGCTGCTATTTCTCCTCCTTGAGATGGGGGATTTTTGTCACCTCGGCCATGATTTCAGACCTGTCGTCCTGCTGATTTCGCGGACGGACGACGCGGTGAGCTTCCCATTTCAAGATGTGGGCTCTTTGCGGGCCCTTCGTCCTGGGGACACCGTCGGCCTTTCCTAAGCATTTTCGCTTTGAGGGGCCAGAACGATGTGCTCTGTTGACCTTTCCTGGGCATCTTCGCCCTGAGGGGTCAGTGTAGTATGGTACGTTTCTGATCTTTTTAGAGAAGTGGAAACAACTTTTATTAATAAGTGGCTCGAGGCCGAGGGTGGCGTTCGACCAACAATCCGTGAGAAGGTGAGGGCTTTGGCGGCTGCACCGTCCCCGAATTATTGATAGAATTTCACCAAGTGATCTACATTCCACGTTCGTGGTACATCAGACCCATTTGGGTGTTTCAATTTGTAGGTGCCAGGCTTGACTACGACACTGATGATGTAGGGACCCTCGTATTTGAGTGCTAACTTGCCACCTTCTGTTGGCTTGCTTGCCTCTCTTCAGCAAAGGACATAGCCCCCCACCTGAAATTCCTGGGAACGTACCTTGGCGTCATAGTATGATTTTACTTGGCGCCGGTAGTTTTCTGCTCGGATGAAGGCCTGCTCTCCTCTTTCTTCGATCAGGTGGAGGTCAATCTTCATGTTCTCTTCATTGGTTTCGGACTCGTAATGCTCCACCCGTCGGCTAGGTATGGTAACCTGTGTGGGGGCCTTTGCTTCAAAGCCATAGCAAAGGGCAAAGGGTGTCTCGCCCGTTGCCCTCCTCGGCGTAGTACGGTAGCACCATAGCATATTGGGCAGCTCGTCGGCCCAACTGCCCCCCTGTGTCCTGGAGCTTCTTCTTCAGGCCCTCCAGGATGGTTCTGTTGGCGTTCTCGACCTGCCCGTTGCCTTGAGGATAGGCCACGGAGGAGAAACGATGTTTGATTCCCTAGTCCTGGAGGAGCTCTTGAAAGGGCGCGGCCTTGAACTGGGTACCGTTGTCGAATATGATCTCCTGAGGGACGCCGAAGCGGGTGAGGATATTTTTGTGGACGAATTTCTGACACATGGCCCCTGTGATGCTGGCCAAAGGTTCCGCCTCGACCCATTTGGTGAAGTACTCTATGGCGACGATGATGTATCGATTGTTGCTAGCGGCTCTGGGCAGGGGGGCGACCAGGTCAATACCCCATCTTGAGAATGGGATTGCTGTGCTGACCGGGGCATAGTTGATGGCTGGCCGACCAGGGGCTTTTTGAAGGACCTGACATGCGGTACACTTTCACGTCAGATTGGCACAATCCCGGGCCATCGTCGGCCAGAAATAGCCCTGGACGACGAGACGCCGGGACATGCTGAAAGGGCCCTGGTGGGAGGAGCAGACGCCGCAGTGGACTTCCTCCATGGCCACTTCGGCCTCATCTGGGTGCAGACATCGGAGGAGAGTGCCGTTGTAAGATCTTTTATAAAGTTTTCCATCCTCGATGGTGTAGCTCGGGGCCCTGAGTTTGGCTAGCTTGGCCCTCTCCTCGTCCTGGGCAGTTCTCCTGAGGTGATGAACGTCATGATGTCGGTAACCCATTCCTCTGACCGCTGCTGGATGCATGTGACCGGGCTGGCATGGATGCTGGACATGCTCAGCTCTTCGACCTTAGCTATCTTGGAGATGTGCTCTGGAGTGTCTGAGCTGAGTTTGGAGAGGATGTCGGCCTCAACATTCTCTGCCCTTGGGATCTGGGCGATCTCATGGGTTTCGAATGCTTTGAGCAACTCCTCGGCCGCCTGCTTGTACTGCCTCATCCTCCCTTCTTTAGCCGCGTATGAGCCCTCGATCTGGCCCACCACTAGCTTGGAGTCGCATTTGATTTTGACGTGTCGCGCTTTGAGGTCGGCGGCAAGTCTGAGGCCGCTGAGGAGGGCCTCATACTCGGCCTCGTTGTTGGACACCCTGAAGTTGAACCGGATGGCATAGTAGGCTCTGAATCCTTCAGGGGAGATGAGGACGACGACGCCACCACAAGCTTTTTTGGCCGATGAACCGTCGGTGAAGAGAGTCCATGTTTCGTCTGGATCTGGCCCTGGTGTGGTAGCGGTCGTCTCCCTGGCTGTACATTCGGTGACGAAGTCGACCAAGGATTTCCCCTTTATGGATGGCCTTGGCTTGATCTCTATCTCGAACTGGCTGAGGAAGATCGCCCATTTCACCATCCGTGAGGAACTGGTGGGGCTCCGCAGGAGTGCACCGAGGGGTTGCTGAGTTAAGACGTGGACGGCGTGGGCCTGGAAGTAGTGCCCTAGTTTCTTCACTGTATGGATGATAAGTCCATTTTTGTACTTATTTTTCTTATCAAATTTAAGTGATTTTGGATTGAAAAACAGAAAAACAAGGCATGTTTTATATATTTTGGTTCAAGTTTCGTGAAATCAGGTAAAAATCACATCCATGATATGTTTGATGAAATTTCGGGTCAATTTAGCACAAAATGTGTCAATTTGAGTGACAAATGATATCATACCGAAAAAAGAAAGCAGAATTTCAAAGTGGTCCAGAAGGGAAAGTTGAAGAGCACAAAATGCAGAACAAGACGGACAAAAAACCTCACAGGCGCCCAAATAGGTGCCCAGATTGGCCGCCTACCAGGCCGCATACCAGATTTTTTGTGTTATAAATACCCCGATTTTTGCTGAACTCAAACACACCTCTTCCAACCCTAATTCAGTTCAAAAAGGTCATGTTCTTCAGCTATTTCCGCAGCTCCAAGGTTTTTTGGGAGAGAGAAACTTCAAATCTTCATATCTTCTTCATTTTAGCTTCAAATTGTAAGTTCTTTATATGTATTTTCATCTTCTCAACGAGTAGAATCTGAATATGTGTTTTGTTTTCTCGATCTGTTCTTCGAATTTTTCCAGAATATTTATCTAATATTTCGCATTTTCTCCCATAAATTAAATAAAATAGTTGTTGATGTTGAATTCATTCCAATTATTTATATAGTTGTTCACTAGCCTCAAGGTTGTTATTTATCTGAAGAAACTTAATTTTAACGAAGTACAAGTAGTTTTTAATTAATTTCGGTAGTTAGTTGTTATTATTGCATAAATTAAATTAATTACACAAAAAATAGAAAAAAATAGTCTCGGTCCTAATTCCAGTTTATTTCACTGTAATATCACCCCTAGTAGTCAATAAAAAATTTAGAACGAATGTAGCCTATTTTTAATTGCCTTTTGTATTTTATAGTTAAAAGTGGGAAAATTATCAATTAATTGTTAAAATTGGATTTTAGGTCTGAAAATTCGTAAATCCAGAAAGTCATATTATTGTAGTTCCAGAAAGTTTATTTTGACAATATCTTATTTTTGTTTAATTTGTTCTATTATACATGTTTAATTCCATGTTAATGTTTAATTTATTTACCATATTGTTGAATGCAAAAATAATGTTTAGTAGCTAAATTTGTTTTGGGCATGAATTGAGTAAAGGAATATGGATTGACTTGTTAGCCGAAAATTAGGGGTTAAAATTAATTAATTGAGCTAGTTATTCAATTTGATGAATTAGTAATTAATAGTTGTTAGCCAATTTCATTAATTA